TGATATGATAGCCATGTTCAAATATATAAAAGGATGTCACATAGAGGAGGGAGAAAGGTTGTTTTCTGCTGCTCCAGAGAAGCGGACACGGAGCAATGGATCCAAACTACAAGAAAGAAGATTCCACCTAAACATTAGGAAGAACTTCCTGACAGTAAGAGCTGTTTGACAGTGGAATTTGCTGCCAAGGAGTGTGGTGGAGTCTCCTTCTTTGGAGGTCTTTAAGCAGAGGCTTGACAACCATATGTCAGGAGTGCTCTGATGGTGTTTCCTGCTTGGCAGGGGGTTGGACTCGATGGCCCTTGTGGTCTCTTCCAACTCTATGATTCTATGAAAAGATAGTGGTGATTATCCTATTGCCAAGAATCATTTCTAAGTTTCTTGTGACTAACTTCTTACACTGGTTTCAATGAGAATGCAGTTCCAGGCTTGATTCCTAGGGAGTAAGTCTCTATCACCTGGTTTGCACATGAGGCTAGCTCATGTTTTAACATTAGTCATTTTTAAACAAACCATAGTTACATATTTAGGCATATGGCAGATGATCACGTAAACCTTGGTTTATTGCAACATCCCCCTTTAAAGAAAACACAAGCCAGGAAGAGTCACTTTTCACTTGCATCTTTGTAGCTTTTAGGTGATGATGGCTCCTTAATCACTATTAAGGAGGTGGTCTTTGTTCACACATTAACACTAGGCCATGGTTAATCTTAACCAAGTTTTATAAGCCCACTGCAAGCCTTGCTTTATGTGTGACCTATAACCATACTTAATAAAACTGTAATTAAATTGCAGGTTGGGTTTATGCATAACACTAAGCCATGGTTTAATAAGCCATGGTTTAATAAACTATGGTTTAGCATTACTGTATGTGTAAACCTGGCCATTGTATTCATTGGACTTACAGCTGAATAAACATGCATAGGAATGAACTTCTAAAAGTCTTTAGCTGGAAGGTGATCTACAACTTTTGTGGATGTGTAATCCAGGTCTGTACAGTGATTTCAATTATAATCAGGACATATAAAACAATCCCAACACTTTGTTTGTTGTTCTATTAAAGACTTGACTGAATACAGTATGTAACTACAAAATATATGTCATTTTCAGATGTACCATTTAGTTCAGGTTTCAAGTCTGTAAACTGCATTTTTTAAAAGTGTACCAGTACACCTTTTGAGGAACCCATTGTTGACACAGATCTTACTACATTGCCTGGTTTCTAATCATAAACTAAAGAGGACAACAATTTGCATGTAATCCAGTTACCAAAAACCCCCAATTCAGTTGTACAAGAACTGGAGAATTTATATTTTATATTCACATAGTACTGTATATTTAAAAAAATTGGTGTACAATCCATCTTCACACACCTAAGCCCATACTTAAATGCTTAAGGATGTTCTTCAAACTTCCTCGTTAAAAACAGAAAGTTTTAAATGTGGTTCATTTTGGGCTGGATCATGTCACTAATGAGTGATTTCCAGCACTGCACAATTCAATGCATGTTTACTCAGAAATAATGGGGTCTAATCCCTAGTGCATGCATTAAGAATTGTTACCTTAGATCCATATAAACTAATTATGACAAGTGAACAGAAACGGAGTATCACAATTTGACTATATTATATATAAAAAAATGGTTCTGTTCCCCATCAGCTTTGAAAATTGATCAGTTAATCAATCACAAATCAATCAAACCAAATTTTTAATCCAACTGCAATCCACCCTTTACTGTATAGTCAGATTAGGAACAGCTATGGTACTAGCTAATTGACCTATTTTATTTTTGTTTGATTTGGCACAGAAGAATTGTATCAAATTACTTGGATTGAAAAGGGCAACTGTCCAACAGTACAGCTAATCTAATTAATCTTCTACTATAGAATCAGAAATATTGAGGCCTCTAGTCCACATATTTCTCCTACTCTTTATTTTTTAATTTACAAAAAATACTGCATTATCTCTTTAAGTGATGCATCATCTTTTCTATGTCTGCTATCATAAAAAAATACAAGTACTTATAATTGGAATAGGAATCCAGTTTACTGCTTTCCCGATAGATTTCTAATTAAATCAATTGTTATTTATAACACAATCCGAAACATGTCTGCTTGAAAATCACTCTCACTGACCTGTTTAGGATTGGTGCACTGGTATTTTACACCCTAAAAGGAAAGATCAAACTCTGCACAAAAGAAAAAGGATTTCTTAAGAGAGTTTGAATAAAAACCTGACTCACAACCTTGCTTCATCTAAAATACACCTGCATCTGAGATGATAACAATAATTCCTTGGAAGGCAATGCTATAAAATAATCTGAAATTACCCAGTTAACCTGATGCACATACTAGAAAGGGGGAAATCTTAAATTCCAAGCAGAGCGACACCCACCAACAGCTCAGCTGAAGGCATTTTTGTTGCCTATTCCATTTTTTGATCACCCATTTTTTTCAAGGTTAACTTCCATAAGCTTAAACAGATTGCATTTCCAACTTCCTATTAAATCTCATGTTGTGCATAAACTATATTGCTGTGGTTCAATTACTTAATAATTAATCCCTGAAAGCAGATCTGTAAAAGTTATAATCACTAACTATATCTATAGAATGCAATTTTTAAGATGTGCAGTTGCAAATAAATGCAAATCCAGAAACTCGATTTGACAACAGTATTCCTGATAAGTTGTTTGAATCGATTGCTGCTTCCAATTCATAACTTGGGGTAGACCATCAATCCAGCTTCATACTGACCCTTAAAATGTGACCACATAATTTAGATTTAAAAACATATATTAAATTACAGTTACATAGGTCCACTTCAGGTGGAAATTTCTAATAATGGTCCAACCCTAAAACGATTCACTTTAAAGTTTGTATCAGTAAAACTTTCCAAAGTACAGTACAAATCAACTATAAAGTTAATGATGCAAATAATTGTTTCAGAAAACTCAGCGTGGATTACCCTCAGTTATAAATGAGTATGCATGTAATTGCAGCAAATTCTTAATTTTAGAGGGTAGCTGACAAAGGATTTTTTCAAGAATATGGAATGTTAGTGTTGTACAGTATTTATATTTCTGCAAATACACAGAATTCAGTTCTGCCAGTGAGCTAACACATTTCACAGCATCACTTCTTTGATAAATGTTTAGAATGCAGAAATAAAACATGCAGCCTTTAAAAGAGATTGATGCTGCAATACTTTATCACACACTTATCTGGGAGTTAAGTCCCTCTGAACCCAAAAGGGCTTGTTTCTGAAGGACCACACTAAGACATCAAGAGAACAATCCTCTATGTATCTATTCAGATGCCCCAATGAATTGAATGGTTTGTCTGTATAGCAATGAAATGTGAACAGTGGTATTAGTAGGCGAAACCTAAAAGACACACGAAATTGATGAAATAGGTGTTTGGCAAACTGCTATGTGCTCTTTTGCACACATCCAGTAGTCATATGCAGGTTGTAAACATTATTGAGCATTCCCTATCTGAAATCCAAGTCCCACCAAATTCAATGAAGGTTAAAGATACTAAAAAAAAACTTTTGTTTGATAGTTCCCATAGAAGTCCTGTTTTAATAAGACAGACAGAGAAATTCCATGCACATCTACTCAGAAGTAAACCCCACTGAGTGGAGTTTACTCTCAGGTTAAGTGTATATAGGATTGCAGCCCTTGTGTACACTTTTTCTAAAGAAACGACTGTGATCATAGTTTGCATGTTTCTCCTCTCTGGAATACTACAACTCTTGCTTTTATTGCTAGATGCAACTAACAGACATTGTCCTCTCCTGCTCTATTTGAATGTTATAATCTCTGTTCAGTGAGAGATTCCAGAAATAATGAATGGAGCCACAAGGAAATCAAACCCTACCCTTCACCCCGATCACAACGGGGAAATGCGAGGGATCAGTTGCAAAAGCTGGGAAAATCGAATAACGAGATACAAATTACTCCGGGGAGTGTTGACCAAATAAAAGAGGATTTGTTTGTTTGGGCCGAAAAACCCCTTAAAACAGAAACGAAACAAAAAAAAGATCAAATGAAACAAACTCAGTTGGGTCTTCTCCATATGACCCCAGAGTTAATGTATTTATTATCACACTGCAGTTGCAGGTTGCTTTACAGACACATCTCATGCTATAGCCCCCACATGGAGCCAAGAACAAGGAGGGGGAGGGGGGAAAACATTTTTTAAATTCAAACAAAGCTATTAAATAAGCTGTACACAAAAGGCTGGCCTTTCCCCCGAAGAAAGGCATAAAATTATAATAATGAAAGGAGCCAGGGCCTCCATGGACAGGCTAACGCTGCAGTTGTTTTTATTTAAAACCGTAATCCATCCCACTATGACCAGATGTTTCCAAAATGGTATTTTGGGTGTGTGTGTGTCTGAGGTTATGCCCTCTAGTCCGAGGAACTGTTGCAAACAGTTGGCACTGTAAGTCCTGATCCTTTGGGGGGATCCTCACAGGTGATCGATCTTGGGAGTACCAGGAGCAAAAACGTAGAAATCAAATAAATCCACAGGGCGGGTTGACGTAAACGGACATCTCCGACCCCCAGAGTTCCAAATCTTGTTAAGATGAGAGCCAGGATTGACCTGACCACTTCTGCTCCCAAGGCAAGGATCACATCCTGCATCTAGTCCCCTGAGGCCTGGGATCCCGTAGCCAGCAGCGTCACATGGGCCTCGATTCTGTTATGAGATGATGCACCAACAACTGCTCCAAGCTCCCGGAATACAGGCAGCTATGTTCAAAGGAGGTGTTTTTGTCCCCCCCCCTTTTCCAGGCCGCCCAGACTTTCAAGGGTGGGTCCTGGGTTCAAGTCCTCCTCCCAGAAACCTCTGCAAAAGTGGAGTTCCCCAGACTCTCCCAGGCCTCTAAGATCTGCAAGGTGGATCTGGAGAGGGAACCCCAGGCGCAGGCCAGGGCGCCTGGTGGCCCAGCTTTTAACCCAGGGAGCGGGCGTGGGAGGGCAGCTCAGGCGCAGGTTACATGTCCCTGGGCTCCTCCCTTTTGACGGTGGCACACGCGTGTCCGTGTCCCGGCGCGGCGGCGGCCTTGAGGCGCTTGTTCTGGTGCGTCTTGACGTGCTTGGCCAGGTGGTCGCTGCGCATGAAGCGCTTGCCGCACTCGGCGCAGCCGAAGCGCTTCTCGCCGGTGTGAGTCCGCAGGTGCCTCTGCAGCTCGTCGGAGCGCGTGAAGCTCTTGCCGCAGAAGAGCCAGTTGCAGACGAAGGGCCGCTCGCCCGTGTGCCAGCGCAGGTGCGCCTTGAGGTGCGACGTCTTGCCGTACACCTTCCCGCAGCCGGGGATGTGGCACACGTGCTGCTTCTTCTTGCCCGGCTCGGAGGAGGGCGCCCCGTCGGGGCCTCCGCCTCCACCTCCGGCCGCCGCCGCCTGGCAGTTGGGGCAGCGGCAGCGCCGGCACCTCCTGGCCGTGGCCGCCAGGGGCGCCTTGGGGTGCAGCAGCGCGGCTAGCTGCGTCTGGTACTGCGCCAGCTCCGACGGCGCCAAGACCAGGCCGCGCTGCAGGTTTCCCGCGAAGCGGTGCGCGCAGCCGCCCGCGCCGGGCGCCGCCTGCTGGATACTCCACCAAGGGATGTCCTCGGGCGCCGGCGAGAGCTGGGGCGCTGGCGGCGGCGGGGCCAGCAGGTTGGAGTAGCCCGGCGGCAGGGCCGCTTGGGCGGCGTAGGGCACATAGGCGGCGGGCGGCGGAGCGCAGCTGGACGACAGCGCGCCCATGGACGGCGGCGGCGGCGGCAGCATCTTGACGGGCGAGAACTCGTACGGGTACGACGGGTCGGCCGGCGGCGTCAGCGGCAGCTCGTGGGCGCTGCCGAAGGCCGGCTGCGGGGTGAGGCCCAGGCTGGGCGGCGGCGGCGGCAGGCCGCCCGGCGAGTGCGCCGGCATGTCGCTGCTCCACGGGTGGAAGATCCTGGACGGAGAGCCCAAGCTGGCCTCGTAGGACACCTGCAGGAAGTCCGACGGCGGGCCCGATGCGCCGGGCTGCCCGATGCGGCTACAGGTGGCGGCCAGTAAAGCCAGCGGCGAGTGCTTGGCCACGTCGGGGGAGGCGCTCGGAGTGCGGTCCTGCGGGAGACACGTCGTTAGTCGCCCGTCGCCCAGCTGCCTCCCCGCCCACCAACAAGCGGGCACCGGCCGCCTTTTGGCTCCCCAGCGGCCTCTCCCCCAAAGTTCGCTGCTAGGAGTTCAGCAACGGCTGCCCAGCACGTGGGCGGGGAAGTTTCCCAGGAAACTTCAGAGAGGGGGCGGGCTGGAGTCTGCCTCGATCAGCCCCCCGCCAAACGCTGCGACCCCGCTTCCTCCCCTACTAAACCGGTGCCACCCCGGGGGTGCAGCTTCCCGCAGCGAGGAAGCAACCCTTCCCCCGTCCACTCCAGCTTTGCCCTCCTTGCGAAACTTGGCTGTAACCGGAGAGAGAAAAAGTTTCTCTCTGCCGATTCCAGGGCAGCCAGTCCCTCGAGCGAGCGCTAGGCGCGGATTCCCAAGCCAAGAAGTTTCCTCGCCAACCCAGAAGCCTCTCAACATTTCTACTTCATCAGCATCATAAACCCAAACGGGTATGGGAGTAGCACCTTACAGCTCAGTTCCCCAGAAGGGGCGCACAGCGACCCTTCAACTTTGGGGGGGGGGTCCCCCAGCAAAGGCATCCCCTCCCTCCTCTCTGCCTCCTTGCGCCTGGATGTTCAAAAAGATGCGCCCAGTTTTTTTGGTCTTTCTTTTTACGCACCCCTTTCTCCTCCCTTCCACCTCCCGGCTCGACGGGGCGACTGACCTGGAGAAACGCTTGCAGAGAGTCGTTCCGAAGGACGGCCACGGCGGCCATGGCTACCGCGTCCGGGGCCAGGCGAGGCCAGGGGGGCGACGCCGCGGCATGGAGTCGCCAGGGGGAAGCCGGAAAGCTGCCCAGTTTCCTTCCTTCTCCCACCCACCCACTTTCAGATTTCCTCGCCTTTTGCACCCCCCTCCACTAGGCAGGCAGCCCCGGCTCAGCGCGATCTCCGCGGACTGTCTGCCTGCGCCAGGATCACCTCCAAGAATTTGATAAGGACTTTGCTGGGCCGCCAGCCAGTCAGAAGGAAGATTTATGGCTTTGAAGTTTGCCGCTACCCAATCATCAAAGAATAGCGGCTCTTTCAGAAGCGAAAGCAAATCCTTTGAATCCACAAAGCTCCTATGGTGTGTTTGTTGGTCTGGATAAAAGAGCTGATTATTAGGGGGGATGGGAAGGGAGGAGATAAAGGCGGGACAATTAATGAAGTAATCACTATGTGGGAAATGTATATACACAAATAATTGGATTTTCTTGATCAAAGGGTCCTTTACCGCCTGGAGACCCCTCTCACTCGACGTGCAAGACACTGCATCTCAACCCCGCCCAACCCCCAGCTTCCCATCCCTTAAAAAAGAAAAGAAAAAGTATATTAAGATTAAGGATTTGTAGCAGAGCCCTAAAAGGGACAATACTTCTTTGTAATCTTCAGTTACATCAGCCCCGGGTTTCCCTGTTCGACTACTGTATATCGTTTGCCAATAGTTTTATTGTCACCAAATGACTTAAAGTTCACTTATTTGTAAATAACTTTTGAGCGCGTCAGCAACTCGGAGCCCGACAGGAAAAGTTCTTACACTTTGTGGGGCCTGATTTTCTGGAGAATACAAGCGAGAACAGGAACAATCAGCAAACACATCATTTTGCGCCCGTTCCTTTGCTCTTCTGGAATCGGGGCTTCGCCAACGCTTTGTTATGCTGCAAACAGCATGATTTCTCCACTTGTTAAAAACTGGGAGTGCAAGACCAAAAGTGTTGGGGGTTTTTTCTTTCTCTCTCTCCCCCCCCCCCGTGCTTTGAATTTGGTTTAATGAATACCTTTGGGGGAAGAAATTCCTATTTTCTATGCAGGTGATGTGCTTTCTAGTGGTCTGCAAGAACTCCAAAATATAAGTTGAGTTCTGAAGAGCTCTTAGAGTAGGAAATCCGACCAAACTTTAACAGACCTGTTTCTTATAGTACTACCCTCAGCCGAAACACGTTCAATTACAGCTCCTTCTCTTTACCATCTCCTGGGACACCCCCCGGGGGGGGGGACTTGCGGCAGCGTCGGGGGAGTCGACGTGAAACGCAACGCAATTTGAAAGTTGCATTGGAAGCACTGGGTCTTGCGCTTCCTAGGTGGTACCTTAAGGCTGCAAACAGAAGCGCATAAGCTTGCGAACCATTCCCAGCCAAATCCTCCGGAGCCCCTTGTTCCAAACAGTTTCTCGGAACCTGAGCGCGCTTGTCTTTATATTTGCCAAGGAAAGAAGTGATGCTCCAAAGCCTTTTCCAGCCTCTCTCTGCAAACGAAGCCCAGAACAAGCAACCTGGTGGTGATTTTGGGCTGCCTTTTCTCTACTCGATCCTGGATCGCTTAAAAACCTGACACTTCTGATCGGGCGCACAGAGAGAGAGAGAAGTAGTTAAAAATCACTAATCCTTTTTTTGGAGGGGGGGCCTTCAAAAGTTTGGCCGTCGTATGCAATTTCCTGGGCGTCTGCTTGAGAGCTGTTGGGTCTACCCGGCCTCGGGAGATCCCAAGGGAGATCCCTGGACTGGGATCTGATGCTTGGCCACGTGCCAAGGCGGGCTTCCTAGGGAAGGAGGGGTGGGTCGGTGGTGGGGGGTCCGCGTGGCCCTGCGCCTCCCCCTCCAGCTGGCCTTTCTCCCACTTCCCCGCAGGTAACCCGATCCCGCCCAGCAGCGGGTTGGATGCCATTGTCTTCGCGTTGCCACTGAAACCATTTTTTTTTTAAAAAAAACAACGCCCCGCACAGAGAGATCTTTATCTGGCCTCCCCGTACAAACACAACCCGTGGCCTCTCCAAAGAGTTTTGCAGGGCCTCCAAACGCATCGGTGCCTTTGAAGGGATTAAAGGGCCGAGCCCCTCTCCCACGGCTCCATATGGAGTCCCGGGGAGAAGGGGAAGCCCCCTCCCTCCCCACCCAGCCACCACGTCGGGCCTCCGCCTCCCTGACGACGAATGCAGGCACCCACCGCATAGCGGGGGCAGCTACGGCCCATCCTTGCCTGGTGACTTGTAACTGCTTAATCGGAATCGATACTCCGGAGATGCGGGCAGACGTGGGAAGAGGAAAAGGAGAGGTCGATGCTGCCTGCCCTCCTGCGCAAAGAAAGGCCTTTTATCCACAATCCCAGCAACCAGACAACACAGTATTAGTATTTGAAAAGTTATACGCCCTATATCATACCCTCCAACATTTCTCTGGTGAAAATAGGGACATCCTGTTCAATTATAATTGTACCCCACCCATCTGACATATAAAAACTTCCCTATACAAGGTTGCCTTCAGGTGTCTTCTAAAGGTTGTATAGCTACTGATCTCCTTGGTTTGGGGGTCACATAACTCCATAAAGGTAAAGGGGCCCCTGACCATTAGGTCCAGTCACAGACGACTCTGGGGTTGAGGCGCTCATCTTGCTTTACTGGCTGGTTTGTCTGCAGACAGTTTTTCCGGGTCATGTGTCCAGCATGACTAAGCCGCTTCTGGCGAAACCAGAGCAGCATACAGAAACACTGTTTACCTTCCCGCCAGAGCGGTACCTATTTATCTACTTTCGCTTTGATGTGCTTTCAAACTGCTAGGTTGGCAGGAGCAGGGACCGAGCAACGGGAGCTCACCTTGTCGCGGGGATTCGAACTGCCAACCTTCCAATCAGCAAGCCCTACACTCTGTGGTTTAGACCACAGTGCCACCCGCGTCCCTTCACATAACTCCATACCCTCCATCATTTCTCTGATGAAAATGGGGATGATGAAAAAGTGGGACATTCCGGGATCAAATCAGAAACCGCAGCAGCTTTCTGTAAATCCGGTACTGTCCTTGGAAAATAGGGACACTTGGAGGGTCTGCTATATTATAGAATTGCAGAGTGGGAAGGGACAACGAGGGTCATCTAAGTTCAACCCTCTGCAATGCAGGAACCATTTTGACCCAACCTGGGGCTCGAACCCACAACCCTGAAATTAAAGAGCCTCACGCAATGTTTCTGAATGATCATGGACTGAATGGGCGTCCTTCAAACGGCTTCTGGAGAAGTTTTGGCTGCAGGTGTTGCTTGGATGAAACCGGGATTCCATGTTGTAGAAAGGCACAGCTAAAGATGATCTGTTTCCTCCAAAGTGAGCACACCAGTTTCAGTGGGATTTACTCCCAAGGAAGTATGGATAAGTTTGCAGTCTTACAGTGCAATTCTATACCTGCCTATTCAGAAATAAAACCCACTGAGGTCAGTGGGACTTAGTACATAGATGTATAGGATAGCCTTGTAAAATAGGATTAATTGGTGTGTATTGGGTGTGTGTGTGTGTGTGAAGTGGGTGTCTGGGCTTTGGACCAAATCAAATGAGACAGAATACCTCAGGGTAGCAATCATTTGCTGCCTGTTCAGTTAGTTTTGGAAAATAAGTGCATTCCACTCCTCTTAAATAGGGTCAAAATTAATTGCTTTTTAAAATTATTTTTTAAAGGCCTTAGAAGATCACAGTGCTATATATTTATTTCACAAATTTGTTTTCCGTCTTTGGGAGATACACAGGTACATCAAGGCCAAATATTTGCTCAACATTACACAAAAGCAGGAAAAGAGACACAGCAGGAATTAAAAAATAATAATAATTAAGAGAACATCAAGTGCCCAGACAAGTAACAGTGCAGTCCTATGCATGTCTACTGTGAAGGAAGTCCCAGTTAAGTGTGTACACCTTTGCAGTCTGAACTTGCGATGGTCTGCATACTTTACTTGACAGTGGAACTCAGTAGGGCTTCCAAGTAGACACACATATAAGATTGTGATGCAAATGAAGGAGAGGACTGGGAGCAATCTTAACTCCTTGTTCTCCGGTCTAGGATACTCCACAAGTAAACAGCAGCCGCAGGTTGAGGGTTTCCAACTTGGCCACAGAGAAGAGAAAGTTATGTTGTCGTGGCCTCAGCCTGGGTGGGATAAGAGGGCAGCAGCAAGGCAAAGCTACTGACCTGTCTCCCTAGAGACAGCAGTAGTCAGAAGGTGATGGGTTTAGGCTTCTTGGCGGTGTTCCCTTCCCTGAAGAGGCATCTCCACCCACTTTCTTCTTCTTTACCCCACAGGGAAAAGGGGACAAAGGCAACCTGGAGAGAAGGAGAGCAAAAAGGTGGTTAATTTTCCCAGGTCACTCAGCAAAGAGAATTTGGAGTACTGCCAGGAAATTCATATGCAGTGCTTTCCCTAAAAGCTCAAACTCTCCAGAGTTTTTTAAGCAGTAGCTTTTACAGGTTTCTTACTTATATTCCATTTTTCTTCTATTGTAGAACCCAAGGCATATGTGGTTCCCAGGCTGACTCTCACCTGGACACTGAGCAGACCTGGACCAACTTACCGTATTTTTCGCTCTATAAGACACACCAGACCACAAGACGTACCTAGTTTTTGGAGGATGAAAACAAGAAAAAAAATATTCTGAATCTCAAGTGCAGTGAAAGCAGCAATCCCTCTTGCTGTTCTGGCTTGTGTGATAGCTGCACAGCCTGCATTCACTCCATAACACACACACACATTTCCCCTTACCTTTTAGGATGGAAAAAGTGAGTCTTATAGAGCAAAAAATACGGTAAGTTTCAGCCAGGTGGAAGCCTCATGCACCTTCAGACTATGCCCTGGGAACAAATAATCCCACCTATTGGGATGTTACAGTAGTGGATTTCCTGCATTGGCAGAAGGTTTCATTTCATTTCACTTTTAATTGGTGTACCACCTTCGTGTATTACTACACACAAGGTGGATTGCA